CCGCCGCTCTCGCCCCACCGCTCTCGCCCCACCCCACCCCACTCCACCCCCACTCACCCACCCGACAATGTCAGATTTATCTATGCAGGGTCACGCAATATCACATGTAAACTAACTCCGGATCTGGTAGATCACTGATCATTTGGATAATATTTCAAACATTCTCGTTCAACTTTGATAAATTAATTTCATTTTAGCGTGGTTATGGGTTGAAGATGGGTCATAATTTTATTAACATTGATGAATTTTCCTTTTCATGTTAATGCTTCGATTGATAGGTAACCGCCACTACTAAGAATGCAACAAGTATAACCATCCTCCTGTTGAAACCTTAAAGAAGACATTTTGATTGGCTTGACAATCCAATGACCTGTGCCGGTACGCACACCATCTTGAGGATGTTTAAAAGATGGGGATGACCGACGGCTTCAAAAATAATTCCTCCTGAGTGGTCCAGACTTCTACCTGTGGATGCTACAACTATTTCAAGACAGTGTCAAAGTTTCAAACTCACGAATTTCGGCAGTCTGAAACTCCATCTCTTCACTGGGCAATGAAAGCCCGACCTTCTTGTTAACTGCTTGCACAGTCGCCTTGTAGGTGGTGTAGGGAAACAAGTCAGTCACATTGAAGGTTACAATCTGAGAGTCATCACTGAGAGAGGTGTGAAAGTCCTTCGTGTATATCTCCGTCATCTGCCGCCTCAAATCCATCAAAGAGCCGGGACGCTTCTTCTTCGACTCCACTGTCAGAGTGTAGGATTCAATTTCACTGACTTTGTGTGCCTTCCACTGGAGAACAGCGTATGTTCCACCAACCGGTCGAGCGTCGATCCATGTTGGTGGATCTGGAAGCGCTAAGGCAAAGAAAGGACGCCATAATTTTTTTCCCGTGAATGCGACTTCCTTCCAATGCCATAGTGAAGCACCTTCTCCTCTTCGTATCCAAATAAAAAAAAATTAAAACCAGCAAGTCATAGTAATTACATTACATGTTTAAATAGTGTTTTTTTCTAAGGGAAATATGCAAATTTTATTAATTTTAGCCATTCTAGTTCACCGTAAGAACGTTAGCGAACCGAAAGAATGCTTAATTACTTTTGACAGGAAATCAGGAGATGATTAACCTAATGAAATATGGCTCTTGCGTATGGGACTTAGAGGTGACAAAAATTTGTTAAATTTATTAGCAAGAAAGTAAAAAAAGGAATTGTGAAAAAAAGCGCGCACATGGTTGATGCTCCACTCAAAATACTAGAAGGCAGAGGATTTCATCCTCAGCTCAATCGACTCTTCGTTTAGAAGGAGGGGATGCAGTAGATCTAGACGATACCTTTCCTGTCACCTGTCGACAGGTTGTCAAGCACAAAGGGTGCTTACGAAAGAGTCATGGAAACGAGAAGGAATGAGAGCAAGAAATTTACGTCCACCCATGAACCAATAACTGTCACCTTTCAGAAGGCATTGAACACCTCCAAGAAGGCGGGTTTTTTTTCGAATTTAGGGCTTAAAAATGTCACAATACTTGTACTCTGAGTTCTAAAAATACTTGACGCCTCTAAGACAAACTTAGAGAACACCGCGAATAACTTGATTAAGTGAAACCTAATATAATTTTGTTTTACCGACAAACCTTAACGCTGGGAGAATAAACACTTCAATTAAATTGACTCTTTTATTGTGAATGTTTTGAAGGAGGCAGCATTTTTTGCAGCACTTTGAAAACCTTTTTAGGTAGTAGTGGAGAGAGCGGAGATATTTCCCGTTGATAAAATTAGTTTCCAGACATTGTGCATTACCTTCGAGTTCAATGTAAATGCGGGGAGTAAGGCGTTCATTGTAGGCAGTGGAAAAACGGAGAGCCTAGGAAATACACTGTGATTCAACTGCGCATTTAAGTGTTAGTAAACAGTATAGAAATCCATCTCCTTGGATTTTTTGTTCAAACAATTACTGCTTGTACCTCTCCCTGTCCCCCTCACCGCCTCCTCTCCTCCTCCTCCTCCTCCTCCTCTCCTTTCCCGGTTGCAGAAGATGAAACAAATGGTAAGGAATTTCTGCTTGAACTCACTTCATTTTAAGTGGGAAATTTGGCCAGCAGAGGAAGGGAGGAGAGAATGACCTGTGCTTGTATGGTGCACAAGAAATTGTCTCAAGTCGGATCCAGCCCCCATCCCTCAAATACCGAGGGGCAAAACCTTGAGCGTTTCGAGGGAAGCATGTCACTCCCGTCGTAATCAGTAACTGGATCAAAAATTAAATAATGAAACATTTCTCAGCCCGTTTTGCCTCCTTTTTAAGACTGTCTTATCTGTTCTGAGGAGTGAGAGGGAGGGAGGGAGAGAAAGATAGAGCCAATGAAATGAGTGTGTCAGAGGCGTAGGGCGTTTTGACCTTATCAGCGACAAATATCTCCACGAATTAACTATTTCCATCAGGCATGTGAGAGGAAAGAGAAGTCAGAATTTGGCAAAAAATTAGTCTGCTGTAGAAGTTTAAGGACATTGTATTAATCACTTAGCAAAAAATTAAATGCCTTGCATTTACATGCCTTTAGTCATCAACATGAGGAATTCTGAAGATTGTTTCATCTTCGACAATTGTGTACACTTTTTAGCTCGAGGTAGGAGTAAGAATGGGCTCCACTCTCTTTATGACATGGAAGATCAGTCAAAGGAATCAGAAGAATGTGATTACAGACTGTCAACTTCACATAATGGGATTACCTAGTGTCCGTATTTTTTTGCATGATTTGGGGAAGAGACTTCTAACTTGCGCGTTGTGTCACTTTTGATGTCAACAGGAATCCTCACATTTCACCTCTCAGAATGACGAGACATAAAGGGATACAAAGGTCTCAAAAACAGTGCCAACAAACGAAGTTCGTCCACTCAAAGCTCATCTTTAGTGACGTTTATTCTGGTTCTTTTTTAATATTATTTGTCGTTGGTAGTTAAGAGCAATCGTGCTTTTGCTTCTTGACCGATTGAGTAATTGGCTGGCTGGCTAAATTAGTAGTGTTACGAAATGGCTCTCTTATTTCACCATTTTGTAAGTCAGTCAACAAATCATTTGATATTCATCAACAATCCATCGTCTGCTGCTGCTAAGCTGTATAATACCACCCACCCGCAACAACAACTCACTTGCTTTGTCTGCTTTGTGTGAACTTGTGTTTGTAATGGTGACGGTGGGAAAATTGGCCATTCATTTGATGGCAGTGAAAATTGTACAGCAATGTTAACTCACTGTCCTCCACTACCTGCAACTCAATTGTGCCTCCCACCTCTTCATTTGGAAGTAAGATCGGTGAGTCAGACTTCTTTCCTCCATAATCCTGCAAGACCACACAGCTGTGGACACCATACCGACAAAACTCACTCAATACTGATGTACAACCTTGTGGAAAGACAGGAGAGTGCGAGTTGGAGAGTTGGGAGACATGAAAAGCGACACGCACACTCCTCCCATTCTTTCGTCCACTTCTATTCTTTCCACTTCTCTCACATTGTCCAAAAAAATACTCACCAACATTTTGCCTTAGCATTAGAAAATTACAAAAGGAACAGTTGGAAACTAAAAGCACGCTACTAAAAGTAGTCGTATTAAATGTCTACGTAAGGAGGAGAATGTACTTTTCCGTCTGATTGTAATGCTTGGAGGTCCAAAAGCATTTGACTGTTAGCTAATTGCTTAACAAGTTCTTCCGCCCGGAGTGGAATGACTTCCTGAGACAGAGATGGTGGAAGGGAGTTTGGGAACAATAAGTCCCCTTTAATTAGTAGGTAGGACTTCGCCCAAGCCTAGATTGACTGGCAGATAATACCTAATTGTACCTAATTCTTTCAGATGACATGTAAATCATGCTAATCCACTTAAGCATCTCAAGGTATGGGAGGTTAGTGACCGGATGAGGTGCCATGGAGCATCAAGAAGTGACTGCAAACTAATTTGGTTTCCCAGCGCTTCTCTCTTAACTCCAAACTGAGACACTTAAAAGGGCTTTTAACAGAATTTCAGAATGTCTACTTTTCATGCTTGCATTAATTTTTGTTTAAAAAATTGAAAAATAAATAATTCCATTTATTTGGATTAACTTTAAGGGCCACCCAGTGCTGGGTGTACTTAACAATCATAGGAAAGTCATCAAAGCTCTTTGTTTGCCTTTGCGTTGATATGCATTTTGATAAAGGCTTTCACCCAGGCCTTTAAAATGAGAAGGAAAATGAAGGAGGGTTAACGGTGCAACAATCGTAGCCTCCTTAGTCGATGCTTAAGGATTCACAACTGTCCATTTCTACGCTCACCTAAGTGGGTGTAAAATTGGCAGGATGCTTACTTCAAGCTATTGTCATTGCAACGAAAGAATTGTCAGTCCCTCTCCTTAAGGCCTAATAAAAAACACTCTCATTACCCTCCCAAATGTGATGTCTTGATTGAGGGGAGAGACAGTGGAACGCCAAAGGCATCACCTTCAACTCTGAAAGAGTTGTTTTTTTTGGGATTCTTGCAATTTCAAATGCTAAATTCGCCACAAAGAAAATACTCCAGCTTGCATCAAACAAACTATATGCAGAGCTTATCAAAATTTATTGCTTCTCTTCCTAAAAAGCGCGCACTTTTGCCAAACTGGTAAATTTTCTATGAGGAACACAGTTAATCCATTCAAAGAAGAAGCAACCATCCCTTGTTCTTTGAAAAGAGCTAAAAGAAGCAGTTTTATCACCGTAGTGGACATAAAATTTGATGAGAAATTTGGTTTATGCAAGATTTTTTTTTGGACAAAATGTATCCAAATTTGATGGCTTATCCATGGTATAAATCTACTTTGAAGTGCGGTGTCTAGAGGGGGCGGCTCAGTCACCGGAATTGCGCAACGGCGGTATAACATTCTTGCTTTATTATTTTTTTTTAAAATACGTTTTAGATGGACTAAAATTTACGTTTGACAATTACGCTGATGTTTCTTCTCACGATGCCAAGGCTGTTCTTGGCCACACAGATGTATGTCAGTTGGTCGGTGATGTCAGTCAATCGTAGAGTTGCCTGTTGTGCCTGTGGTTTTGTCAGTGGACGCTCTGTGTAGTAGTGAACAGGACTGGCTTCGTGGAAGTCACTTTTTCCTCCTCCCGGTGGTACAATTGGCGCGGATCCCGCAGTTGTCCACCACACCAGTGGAAGAGGAAAGCCACTGGCTTTGCAGGTGAGATTTGTTCCTTTGCCAGGTGAGACATAAACTTGAGAGGGAATCTCCTTGATTGCTGGTGGAAATTCTATGCCTGCAAGCCAAGACAATCAACGTCAAAGGGTCTTTACGACGATCTGTGGTAGAGCATAGCTACATCTAGCACATGCGAGCAGCAGTAAGAGTTCATTCCTTTTGCCTATTCACCCTTGAACTACAATGGCACCTACAACCCAGCACCTGTCTCAATCTGGCTATCTCTTTTTTAGCCCAAATTCCAACAAAAAAAAAGTGAGATAAAAGAATTTTTAATATGCCTCTACAATCTTGTAACGAAATGCATACAACGACTGGTAATGAAACATTTCTCTCAAAGGTTTTATTTCCTGAGAATAGGTAACAGCATCATGCATACTACCCAGGGTGAAGGTGTAATACAGATTAAAGGTGCGGCCACCCTTTTACATGCGTCCGGTCCTACTCCCTACCCAATAGGCAGGACATCAAGTACATAAATATGTAATCAAAAGAAACTCCACACATAGAGAAGTTAAATGTTTTTTTTTCTCCTTTTCCTCATGGTAAAAATTAAGTGAGGTTCGTCAAGCCAGAGAAGTGTTGTGCTTTGGACTGCAGTTGAAAATACCCAACACCAGCTAGCAATCAAGTGAGGACACACAATCCCCAGCGTTGATTGGCTTTAGGTCCACCTTGAAGCCTTTCTCCCAAATACACTTCCGTAAAGGGTGAAAAGGCATGAGAAGATGCGGTGTCAAAAGACAATGATTAAATTTTAAAATTAAGGCGCAAAAGAAGGCGCAAAGGAGTGAAGAAGTTATACAATTAGAAGTGATCATTAAAATGAGGCCAATAGCGAGCACATGCAAGAGCGCAAGACAAGAAGCTTTCATCTATTTGATCAGCGCTTCACTTGCCCCGTTCGACTAGGTAGTGAAAGAGCAGCGTAAGATTTCCTGTAAAGACAAACCATACCATAATTATTTAAAGAGACTCTCCAAGTCTGCCCATTTTACGTGTGGGTGTGTGTGTGTGTGTGTGTACGTAGGGCAACTTTTGCTCCAGTAGTCTAAGGGATCACGAGTCGTGCATAAATTGCCTGTAATTGCAATACATTTGGAAATTGGGGAGGGGGAAAAATATTTTGCAGACATTGCATTAGCCAGTTTTCAAGTCAGCACAAAAATAAGTGACAGTCCGAGGCAACTGTCAGTTGGAGCGAGATTGCAAAAAAAACGCGCTGGTAATGGTGCGCACCAAGAAGGGGTAATGAATACGGACCCTTGGGTAGTAGTCAGTTTTGTCAGGCAAAAGATGGGTTTCTACGCTTCCCATCGCTCTTGCATCTTTTCTTCCCAAACCTTGCTACAGGGTGATCACGAAGAGGACGATGTCTGCCAAAGTGCAATCAGTTTTGCCAGTTAATTTGGGGGTAAAGTGGACACACACAGGCCGGAGGGAGTGGTTAATGAATGCCACTAAGTTCAACGCCTTAAAGTTAATTAACCTCACTACCTGCTTTCACTTGACCCGATGGAGGTCTGCGGTGGATGAGGTCCCTAATTAGAGAATCTCAATTGTCGCCTTATCAACGCGGTCATAGTTCATGTAAATCAAGTTCAACAGGTGAAGCGAAAGACAATGGGATGACAATATTCTTGCCAGCATATCTTGGATGCCTTTTAGGCTTCGAAGGTGGACGTAACTTCCAACTAAGGGGAGGTAGCTTCCATAACCCTTAAAAAACGCTTTAAAGGCGTAAAGCATTACCCTTAATGTTATACAATTGTCTCTTTCTTTTTACAGGCATTGAAACAGTTGTTGATATGCTTGTACGAGGGATCATCCTTTAAATACATCACCTTAAAGTGATGCGTCTTCCATTACTTTGGTAATTTGGTTACGCATGGTCGAAGATTCAATTAACTTTGTAGGGTTAGCGTAACAGATTTTTCAGTGGCAAATTAAGTGTAGGATTGCCTTTAGTTCCATTTGATACCTTCAAATGACTTAAAAAGCAAGTCTCCACGGTTAGCTTGTCTACTTGTCAAGTCTTCATTAAAGGTTGCATGCGATTGCTCCTCCAATTGGCTTAGTGACAGGATTGCACGTTAGACGGACAAAAGTGTGTGGTACTTTATAGCCATAAAATAATCAACAGAAAAAGTTCTTTTTGGTGTTTTGTTCGCTGAGGGTGAGGATGGAAGCAGTGCCAACTGCTCATCGAACCTCCTCATCTCGATATCACATCTCCTCATCAATAAGTTTCGTGATATGGAGTTTTCAGTTGTGAAGGTACATGTTGAGTCCTTCCAGCCTCCATGGTCCAGTCCTCTCGGATTCTCAAGATGCAGAAAGTAAGGTAGAAAATGGACAAGGGAAGAGCGCTGAACAAAGGGAATTTGGACTTTGGAATCTGCATTTCACTACCACTGCTATTATGTATGTACATACATAAACCGGGCATAAAGGGTACAGAGTGTTGTGACACACCTCAGAAATTCAGCCTGGGGGATGGAAAATGGTGTGCTGGTTCATTTAGCAAACAGTAGAATACAAATCTCATTTGTCATTCCTACTTAATCATCCACATCGTTGACAAATAAGCTGTCAGAGACAATGGAAGTGAAGGTAAACATGACCTACTAATGATATGGCATAAATATACATGTGGTTCTAAGGTGGTAAATTCTTTAGTCAATAAGATCATGAAAAGGTTGAATCAGCAATCAAGTCGTGTTGGAATCGTAAAGTTGAGAAGTCCTTTTTGGGTCTGTGATTTCACACAAAATCACGCAACATGGCAAAACACAACACAGCATAGCATAACACGACACACCACAACATGTTAAAGTCCTGAAAGCGTGTAAACCAGGCTCGTTATGGCTAGAGAGACCTCAACGAGAGAATAAGGCGTTACTCGAGTCGACTTCATCGAGATTCCTCGATCTTAGTCCCTGCGGAATGCGCTTATAAGTCAGAAGTATCAATGTCTCTGTTTTACTTCACCAGCCTAACATCAAATCAGGTGTTTAAGGAAGCATAGAAAGTGGAGGACTTACGTCGAACATTGAGGTGACCGGCGTTGCTAATCGCTGTCCCAATAATGTTTCGGGCCATGCATTCGTAGACCCCCGAATCCTCCTCTAAAAGCGATTCAATCACTAAGGATCCGCTTCCTGAAATGAGAAGAGGGAAATGTCAAAAAATTTTCTCCTTTTCAGCACAAAAAGGACACTATAAACAGTAAACTCCATTAGGTGTGAGGAGTACTTTCGCGACTCTCAGTCAGGAGAAATCATGCTTCCCTTACACAGTGTCCATTGTTTATTCAGCCTTATACTGATTCTCATAATTGCAAACACTTTCGTACCCTAACACCCTCACTTTTTGTACCAAATAATACAAGGCGCTGGGAACTCATTATGACTTGAGCAAGCATAATCATCAATTCCCCATGGAAATGTCAGTCCTTGCGTGCCTTAGAGGCTTAACAACGCCTTTTCACTCCACAAGGCTCCGATAAAACACATGCACAAATCCTATGGGGGATGCACAAACTGAAGTGGCTTAGCAGAAGTACTTTTTGAAGATGCAGTAACTTTGAAGTTGAAGACATTTAACGAAGGAGTTCATTATTTCTCGTAAAATGCAAAACAGTCGCACTCTAGAGGTGTCTCTTAAATCCCTTTTACAAAAGCTGAACCGCCTTCTGTGAATTAATGGAGGCCTTTAACAGATGATGACATAAAGCAACCGGTGAATTGGGTGGAATAGGAAGTTCAGTCACTTTTCCAGACTTGTGGAAGCATCAGTATTACAAAATATGCGTGAATCGGAAGTTGAAGAATATTAATGCACTCCGATGTCATAAAAATGCCATACACCTGCAGACTTTAAGCATCAGGGTGTATGAGAGAGAGCGAGAGAGAGAGAGCGGAAGCCAGAAAGAGAGAGTGGTGTATGCCTTTATCAGTGGGATCTCACTTTAAACAAATTTACCGCACACGTGGTCGAAAAGTAACTGACAGTTCTGAGATCTGGCATTTTACACACACACACACACATACGCCATCCCTATGCAAAAGCGACACTTTTTTTACAATACATAAATGCTTAATGAAATGAATTGCAATGTTGGAGCAAAAGAGTGTAATTTGTGAGCTGCACACATAATTGTGTCAGGAGAATTCTTTTCGCCTCATAAAGTATTATTGCTCATTGGAGACATCTAAGACGGAGACAAATTTTCTCACCGATTAGTCGATATCTGGAGTCGGACAAATCGAGCGGAAAGAAGGTGTCCTTGATCCAAACCACCGAGGCGACTGGAGTAGCTGATACCTCACAATGGAGGTGTGTGGAGTCACCAACTTGACCGATCGTGGTTGTCGGATTCTCGGTGATTTTGGGCAGACCTTTGGGTGGAGCTAATTAAGAGAGTCAGCATAACTCTGTTAATATTTGTGTCCGAGTCGTAGACTGGGGAGTTTTTGCTAATTAATTTTTACCCATTTGGACTTCAGCAGTTCTGCTGTGTTATTAAGTAAGGAACTACCAATTTTTTTGTCGAACAAAAAAACCTGTCTTGTTTTCAATAGCCAGACTAATTTTGAGCATCAAGGCAGGAATGACAAAGGGTATTGGAGGAGACAGGGTTTTAGGCCCAAAGTTGCCAAACTCCTCATCATCTTCACTGACAACCTTAACTCAGATAGGTCTGGAAACAACTGCCCATCGCAGCCCTGTTGATTGGCATTAATTGAAAGCTTTTCACGCCACTGTGAGTTGTTTTGCGTGCCTGCCAAGCGGGACTGCTTTTGCATCCATCTGAATGAGAAGTGACATCAAAATAACGAGAGCTGAAGGAGAGGAGCGAGAGAGAGGCAGAGAGAGAGAGAGAGAGAAAGAGAGGACGGGAGCGGGAGGGTGAGAGTCCGGACGGGACCATTTATGCAATGCATATGCTTACCCATAAAAAGTATCTATGATAAAAAGGTCCCAGCAACTCTGTGCAATTAAGTGCAGTGCGAGGTGTATCAGCCTCCTTTTTTTTCTCTCTCCTGTCGAGTGGTGCATAAAAAGATTTATGACAAGTGCTGCAATTTCGGTAAATTAAAAAGGTAGTAGTCTGGAATTTTAGCATGGAAAGTAAATTCTTAAATGGCAATAAATACCAGGCTACTATATCCTTTCTCCAAGGCAAGTAGACCATTGTGCTGTTGTCTAAACTGTAAATAAATTTAATTTCTTGTGCAGATAAATCATCTGTGTTGGTTATTACAGGTGGTATTGTTGTGATTCTGAATGACTTGTGGGTCCGACCGTTAATGATACACCTGACCACGATAGGCGGCAGGGTGGTGAGACGTCTCTAAGGTCGGTGATCACACCAGACAGGAGTTTCAGGGTAAACTAGAAAGATAAGATTCTGAATGTGAACCGTATAAACTGTCCAGACCGTCAATTTGTGCACCTCAGAGGTGTGCAGACGCTGTCAAACTAAGTGGAGTGTTTAGCCAACAAAGACGTAAAACTTAGTCCATGAGTCCCTATTTGTGCCCGAAGGCGCAATGCGTTGTGGTACTGAACCATAGAGCTGCTTAACAATAAAATATTTTATGATGGAGATGTTTAAAAGACGGCCGCACGGTTGCTAGTACCAATCTCGGACTTGATTGTTTGCAGTCTACAACAATCCCTCCTGTGAATATTCATTCCGTCGGCCCATGAACCGACCGATCGTAACATGAAAGCGCACAAGGGAGGAATTTTGGGGTGGACGCGGTAGATATGCTATAAATAATTGTGGACATGTTTAATTTTGGGATTTCGTGACGTTCGAGGGCCAAATGTTGAGGTGATTGAATGCGTGAATAAGAGTAGCAGGCAGCAGTGCAAAGAACTCCTCAAATGCAATGCTCTCCAAAAGTTTTCATTTTGCTCAGTCATACCTTCTGTAACTACAAAATTTGGGCTTTGATGGGTAGACAATTGAACTTACGTTCATTGGCGTCGTAAACTGTGATTCTGGCTTTGGTCGAGTCAGTGCCAAACTGGTTGTAGACCCGACAGGTGACTGTGTCGCCATTGTTGGACATTTGCAACTTCGCCCTAAGGGTAAGTCCATTTCCCTTGGGTAGAGCTCGAACAATCATCCCAGAGGAAGGAATGCCAGGTCCGCTCTCGCTTAGAGAGGGACCCAGTTCTTGAGAGTTCCAAAGAAAGGTCACTTGTGGTTCGGGGTTGCCGGAGGCTCGACAAAAGAGAACAACATCCTCCCCGTGGATGGCTTTGGTGTCCTGAAGTCCCTCAACTATCCGAGCCGGTTCTATAAACACGCAAATCAGGTACAAAAGGAACTAATCGTGACTATAATGTCGTGCAAGCAGTGTCAAAATATTCCGGTTTGAAGTTCAATTTACGTAAATTACAAAGAAGTGAGGAAGAGTGCGCCCATCTTAAGACTCATTTTCAACACCCACCATGGGCACTCGTAGTTAAAGTCGCACATTGCAAGTGATCTGGCAGGATTCTGTACATGAAAAATGACAAAATTAAAGACTCTACCCACTGGTTTCCCCCTTCGTACCAATTACTTATTTCTCGTCTGAACAGAAGACGTCCATTTTTTGTCAGTTGAAAAATCATCTACATGTAGGCAGCACTTTGAATGCAGGAAAATGTGATCAAAGCAGTAGAAGCACCTTTTTTTTCCATCGTAAGTCTCATCTACGAGGGACTTTTTCTCCCCTTTTTGATCGGGTGTTAGATACTGTGACAAATTGTTAAGACGGATATTGCAAACAGATCGCATTTCCAAAAACAATTTTTGTGCGATTAAACGCGTAACCAGGAGACAAAAAAGCCGACTTTAAGGATTGAGAAAAGTGTAAATATTTTTTGATTGTTAATACTTTGGCCACCTTTTTTAGCCTGTCAAATGATGAACGGAGTGGAGAAGACTCGAGACGGGAGGCAGTGATGCAGTCGTCGTACACACCCACGTGCACGGAGGCATCTTCTTTAATTCTCTCTCTCTCTCTCTCTCTCCCTTGTACAGAGACATTTTGACCGATCCTCTCCACAACTTCCTCTTCCACTTTATGTCATAAATTAACGAGCCTTTCTACTTATTTTTGATTCAATTAACAAAAAAATGGACCAACTAATTTATCATTCTCCGTTGTCCCAATACCTTTTTTTGTACTAAAAACAAGTTAACCAAAATGGAAGAAAAATTGCACCGTAAATATCAACTTGTTGAAGACTTTTTCATGGAAATCGGGTGGAGTATGATACGAGATTGTAGAGAAATTTATTTCACCTGAGGTGGAACATATTTGAGTTCAAAAAACCATTTCCCCCAGTAAATTATTTTCACCGGGTTTTTTTTATCCACTTCCCCCACGAAAGTGTCATCAGGCTTGTTGGATTGTATTTTTTGCAACTGTAGTATCAAATCACTTTGCATGGTGTATCTCCAAGGCAGGAAATAGATGGACAGCCTGAGAGACCGTAACATCGAATTCACCTCCGGTCGTTGGGACGGTGGAGCCCACCACGTGGTACGATTACCTTACACTGTGTGTCAGTAAAGTAAATACGAGTAGCCTCCACACCTCCATGTTCTTTACAACAAGCATTTTTTATCTTAAGGAGTAAAATAAATTCCAAAAAAATATTTCTGCCTAATGTAATGATGAGGGAGATGATAAGCTGGGTACAAACTCCAGCAATTTTACCCATTGATAAGGTTTGAGGTTGCTTTTCAGTCTGAAGTGTTCTTAATAGCTTGTACGCCACAATTTGTCACCTACTTTAGGCTCCCAAGTTTGTCCAGAATCGTGGAACTTTTTTTCTCCTAGTAACGTTTCTGCGTCGATGATTCTACTCTATTTTGAGCAACAGAAGTAATTAGCATGTAAACAGAAGGATTTTACTAATTATGGTAAAAAATAATATCTTTTGCTTACGCATGGGGTAGAAAATGCAAAACAAGAGAGAGTTTATACTCATGCGGAAAGAGGGAAGGAAAGTGCGGCTAATTAAAAAAAAAATTTTTTCAGAACGCAATGTATAAACTAGACGGGTGATAAAATCATCCTTCTTACCGGTGAGATTTAAGTACTCTTGAATGACATGCACATTGAACCAGGGTTGCGCATGACAGCCTTCAAACAGGTCCAAAAATACATCCACAAACAGCCACATTGTGAGTGCGGACAGGACGCCTCCAATCCAATTAGCATTCATCGTGACCGCCTGGTAACACAGGCCTCGTAGGAATTAAGACTTGGCAAATTGAAATGCATGCGTTCCTCTTTGTAAAAATTCTCTTTGGTAAAAATTATGTGCGTGTGTGTATTTCTTGTTGCAATAATTGTAACCCGTGTGAATAAAGGGTCCTATAAGACGGTGGACGTATGACTCGTTGACCAATCAGATGCCTCTCTCCCGTTTCGTGAGCCAATGGATGAGTAGCAATTGTGAACCCACGCGACTCGCTACTTATGTGCTTATTTGTATACTATAAGTTCACAAAAAGTAAAGACTTTGTCCATGCGGTATAAAACTTTTAATATATTTTTTCCCCATTTAACAGTGTTTTAGGCTTGAAATTCATCCATAGAATTGCGCTAAATAACAATGAACCCCTATTGAGGAATGATTAAATTCTCCAAAAATAAGTCGCCCTTACGAGTTTACTAGAAAGTGGACGAGTTAGGAGTATCAGTAAAAGAGATCTTTTATATATTTTTGCATAATCCAGTCAATAAATACTCCATTAAGAGCTGAATGGCCAGTTCGTTGGCAGTAGAAACGGCAGCCATTAATGACTACCGCTTGAGCATAAAATAACCCACCAGTAATACATTCGATGTAATGAATGTTCCTCATGAAATGTTGTGTCATAATGTGGTAAGAGGAGCAATTCAAAGTACAATCAATAGCACGAAACTTACGCCCTTTGAGGCTGGAAGCAAACTGAACGCATGTGCACAAGAGAATGAATGCGAGCGTTGGTAAGTGTCTCATTGTTTCAATAAGGACATAGAGGGCTTATTGCAAAGGCGATGTTACCCTGAATTACTGGCATTGAACGGTGGATCTAAAATCATGTAAAATTTTTTTGCCTCACATACATATGACGCATGAAGAAAATCTAGTTATCATTCCGATGTGGTTATAATGTGCTTTTTTTCGAGTTGTATTTATGTTAAAAATTCGCCGAGTAATGTCACTATGATCTTCTTATTTGATTCAAATCCTATATTGCTACTAATATACTTTAAGTAGGCAATGATTTGTGAATTATTCTTATCACGTGATATTTAGCGGACTTTTATGTTTTAATTATTATGGTGGAAAATTAAATAAGGTACGTTTTAGAAGAAAAGCGTCTCATAAATACATCTGAGGCTTCTTACTATGTGATTAAAGTATGGCGCAGTGGCTTACGACCGAGGCGAGCCCTTAGTACGAGTATGCAACCTTACCGCCTTTGAGTAATATATTGGATCTTGTTTTATCACAAAAGGACACTGTAAAACGCGGTAACGCGCAGATTCTAAAAGGATTTGTGTTTTAGGCAAAAGATTGTCACAGACAGTTTTATCCGCTAAATATCTCTTCCCGAATTTAGTTATATTTACTGAAAAAGGGTTTGTTGTCGATTGAGCTGTAAAACTTTGAGGCACAATAAACCGGCAACCTCAAATTGACCCAAGCGAAAGACAATTATGCAAAGTTTCCACCATTTCATAATATATTATAAAGGCAACGCACAAAATGGGCCTAAAATTTTTACAACACCTTTAATTGTAAGCGTGGATATGAAAAGGTGATTCAAGGCAGACAGCATTTAAGCACCCCCATATATTTGCGCACAGTCTCGTTCCACAGTGGGTCCATGCGCCGAGGACTTGTTTACGTCGCATCCCTTGATATTATGATAAAAATAAAATTAAAAACATAAAATACTTATTTTGCTATAAGATTTGCCCAAACAGGCGTCGCGTAGCAACGAATTTAGAGAAAAAGCAAAACATATGCTTTTTTAATACATTTCTTAACTCTTTATCTACCTCCAAATGGTGTTGGGAGACAATCTTCTCACAAAAGTCAATTCCCTTGTAGAGGTAAATGATGGATGGATTGCCAGTGGAGTTTGAGATGGTGAGCCAAAAGTGGAGGCAAATTTGCAGGGGAAAAAAATAAAGTTATAAAAGCACTTCCACCTATTTAACAACTCGAGCAAAACTGTGTTTAGAAAAAAAATGTTTTTTTATGGTTTTAACAAAAAAATGTTTTATTTTAATAAAGAACAGATGGAGGAAGTGAGCACATGTGGGTGGCTCTCTGTGGAGGCGACTTTAACTACCGCACACTTCCAACTAGCATAATTCAAAGCCGATTATATCGAAATCCATGTTGGGTTTTTTTCTCGTCTCCTGCTCAATGAAGACAGGCGATGATGAGACCTCACCTCAAGATTAGCCCAAAATTTCAATTACATTAAGACTGTAAAATCAACCTGCGCATACTTTCTGCTATCATGCTTTTTCTGATCGTAATCTGATTTCTTTGAGACAAAAAAAAATCTGGGGATGTAGGAAGTAATTCGCTGAGTGTAAGCCCATTTTGTGCGTAAAATTGTGGGGTAGTTAAGTAGCACCCTAATTCTTGACTGCAGCTCCGCCTTCCTTCGAACAGACATGGAGAGGGGAAAAAAATGGGGTAAAATTAATGCATGAAGTATGACTGAAACCCTTCCATGTTAACTCCTAGTTAGTGGCGCTCCCTACAGACAGTAGAACACCTCGGTGTTTTTCTTTCGAGACCCGTTTATTCTCCCTATTCCCCTCGGATTCGCGTAGACTACCAGCCCACCCGATTTCTCCACCTTTGCGCCCTTTATCACTACACCCACATCCCTAACACAGAATTCCCTAGGACCTTAACAAAACCTCCTCTCAAGGCTATGCAAAGTCCTTCCACTACGCCAAGATGAATGTTTTTTTATTTCTAAAATTCAAAGTGTAGAGTAAAGTAGAAGCAGGCATTGCCCCGAATGTTGCCTCACCAATGGCACTGCTTGGGCTTAAAACCGTTGCACTTTATTTTGGTACAGATTTAAAAAAGACATTTAGACGGCTGCTGGGAGGAATGTAAATTCGCGTTCCCAGTCAAGATCTTTCGTATTTATTTTGACTTTCAATAATATCGGATACCAATGACTTTCAGTGGAGGTCGTAGACACCTCGGACGCCAAAGCTGCAGACCTTGAGAAGGAGGGTAGCGGAGAGATGTTCCGGTTAAAATGTGAAGAGATATTTTAAAGTAGGGATTGGTGAGAGGG